AATGGATGTGCTTGGCAGCTGTCAGAAACCTCACATTTGCTCCCTAACCCTTGGATTAAAAACCACAGTGGCAGAAGAAGCCAACTGAAAGCCTCTGAAAGTGTGGCCTCCTCCAGGAGAGTAAATCAGAGCAATGGCCTCGTAGTGGATGGAACTACAGAGACTTAGTGTCACCGTCAAAGGTGTGTACCACTGTTTGTCAAAGGAGTGTCACATCACTATTTAATTTGCTGGTCTGATGCCTGCAAAGATCAGATGGGCCATGGCAGATTACAATAGACTACTGTGAGCCTGACCAAGTGATAGTCCCAATCTCAGCTGCTGGGCCACTGTTGCAATTGTTGCAGCTATTGATCTGGTGAGTTTACCAGGAAGGATGATTAGAAGCAGTTCAGATTCATTTGGGTGAAAAACAGTACATTCACAATCTTGACCGGGGATCATGTTAATATTCTTGTGATAATGGAACCTTGTTCATCTGGACCTTCCATTACAGAACATCATAGTGGCCCATTCTACAGATGACGTTATTTTCATTGGATCTGGAGAACAGAAAGTGACTTTATAGTGAATGCTTTTGTGAGGCAGATATGACCAGGGTGTGGAAGGTTAACCCTATGAAAATCGAGGATCCTGCCAAATTGGTGATGTGTTTAAGGTTCCAGAAGTCTGTGACATGCTAAAACATCCCCCAAAGAAATGGGCAACTCGTTATTCCTTGTACCTGTTGGCACTGAGAAAAGCAGTATGCCTGGCAGTCCTCTTTAGATTTTGGAGCAAGCACATGCCACATTTAGGAATATTGTTCTGACTTACTTATCAGTTGACTCAGGCAGCAACTAATTTTGAGTGTGGCTTTGTAGCAGATTTAAGCTATGGAAGAAGCATCTTTGACCCTTAGATCATATGATTCACGGCTGACAACTTCTGCAGAAACCACTTCCAATGGTCCCTGTCTGCTGCACACAGGATCACCTGCTTCTTCCTCCTACTCTCACAGGGGCCCACCTTCTTTTTGAGCCTGAGAGGCAGAGCAAAATTTAACTTAAAGGTTTCAGCAATAACTACAGGCCTCAACTCACTAAGTGTCATGCTTGGATTGACCTGAATTAGTAACTCTAGGCTTACAAAGAACAAAGTAAATATGCCCATTTGGGTTGTTTTCTTTATTTTTTATTCAAGACAATCTCAAACTTACAGAAAAGTTGTAAGCACCATACAAAGAACCTTCTTGCTAGACTGTATGAGAGTAAGGTTCTCCATCATCCCCAAGTACTTTAGTGAATATTCCCTGAAAAGGAGAACATGCTCCCCTCTTACATAACCACAAGAAAACCACCAAAATCATGAAATTAACATAGCCACCATCTATTGCCATGACAATATTCAAGTTTTCTCAGTTGTCCCAACTAGAAAAAGATGCAGTTTAGAATCAGGCATCAGATTTATTACAACTTCCACTAGCCTTGAATAGTTCTTGAGACTTTGCTTTTCAGGTACTTGACACTTTAAAGATAATAGGCTGGCTATTTTCTAGAATGTCCCTCATTTTGGGTTAGTTTAATGTTTGCTCTTGATTGGATTCAGGATATGAATCTTGGGCAAGAATATCATAGAAGTGATCCTGTGTTTTCTGCATCCTAACAAATGGCATATACATTGGATTTGTCCCATTGCTGGCAATGTCAACGTCAATAATTTAAGTTGGTGTCTGCCATCTTTCACCATAGCAGTAGAGTCCATCTTCTTTCCTTTGTAATCAATATATATTTTGTAACAAGGTATTTATTAAACCATCAATATATTCATTTATTATATTAGTAGGATTCATAGATTCCTCTATTTCTCAATGGTATATAATCCACTGCTATCATTACATATTTTGATGCTAAAAATCGTCCTATATTTTGTCAGTGGAAGCTGCTTCAAGCAGACTCCTGAGGTCTTATGATGTGCTTCCATCATTCTTTGAGCACTTCCTTATTTCTAACACAAGATGTTTTATGTTCACCATCTTTTTTTTTCTGTCCCATTCCTGGAATCAGCCCATTTTCCAAGAACCCCAGTTTCCATTAGTGGACAATTTTATTTAGAAACTAAAATCTGGAAGCCAGATATACTCATTGCAGATTCCAGGCCCTGGAGCTAGGGAATATATGTAGGTACACCACACACACACACCCTACATTCATGTCTATGTTTATTTCTCTATAATCTTTTTATACATACTGAAAACCATAGCTTCATATCAAAATCGCCAGTTCAATTGAATTCTACAGCTTTCTCCATTTCCATACGTGTAACTCCCTTTCCTGACAGTGAGAACCTGACTCCTATGGTCCTCCAATATTTTCTTGTTCATTAATCCTTCTGTAAGTAACTAATCCACCTGTCCATACAAAGAGAAGCCCTCCTGTCTCTGCTTACACTGCCATACCCTACACTCTGCTGCGGCTGCCACCACCCAGCCCCTACACACACTCACATTACTTGATGTTTGACATCCCAGGCCACAAAACCTATGCAGGGACACCCTGCTCACATGACTGAGGCTCCTACCCCATGCACCATGCTCTGTCACCTTCCCCACTCAGATGCCTCACTTCCTCAGCCCCATCTAATGGAAGAGAAGAAGAAAAAGTAGGGGAGGACTAAGAAAATAGCTTTCTGTTGAGTCTAAGGGAAAAAGAAATGCATTTCACCACAAACCACAAAAATATCTTACTGTCCTTCACATTTTGGGGACACTCTAAATCGTGCACCTAAAAATTGAAACTTGTTTCAAAAAAGTAGGAATACTAATGATAATCTTTTAAAAAATGACAAATTGGGATCAATATTTCATGTATTCAGCAATTTGGCTACAGCCCATAAAACTGTTCAAGCTCAGAGGAAAATGAAATTTGACGGTAATGCAGTCAACTTGAAAATACAGACACAAAGTCTGGATGATGCCAGCCTGTGAAACTATGGGCATATATTTGAAAGTGACAAGTAACTTGCAGCTGATACAGTTGAGAAAAGTAATGTATGAGTAATAAATGCAATATAAACAGCTGATAATTCCAGGTTCTAGCAGCTAAAGCTGCCATAGCCTATGTAGAATATGGTCAATCAATTTTTTTCTTTTTTTTATTGTTGTTCAAATACAGTTGTCTCCATTTTCCCCCCACCCCAGTCATCCCCACCTCCAACCCTTAATCCTACCCACCTTTGGCTTTGTCCATGTGTCCTTTGTACATATTCCTGACCACCCTTCCCCCTTTTCCACCCATTATCCCCTCTCACCTCCCCTCTGGTTACTGTCAGTTTGTTCTTAATCTCAGTGTCTCTGGTTATATTTTGCTTGCTTGTTTGTTTTGTTGATTAGGTTCCAATTATAGGTGAGATCATATGGTATTTGTCAATCATTTTTCTGAAAGTTACCTTTTGACATTCACTACTATTAGCAATTATTTTTTGAAGTAGCATATTTTACCTAGTAACACTACTATAGAAATAGTATCATTTAATCAACAAAACAAAGAAATAAGCAAAATATAACCAAAGACACTGAAATAGAGGACAGGCTGACAGTGACCAGAGGGAAGAGAAGAGGGAATTTCAGGGGAGAATGGGAAGGGTTTACAGGAACAAATCTAAAGGACACATGGACAAAAACTAGGGGGAGGGTGGTAATGGGAGGGAAGTGGGGAGCTTTGGCTGGGTGGGCTGGAATGGGAGTAAAAGGAAGAAAACTGTACTTGAACAATGATTAAAATTAAAAAATTAAAAAGAGAAATAGTATAATTTGTTGATTCAAATGGTACCTATTCCAATCACCAAAAAATTAGACAATTTTCTCTGCCCAGAAAGAATTAGATGATTTTTCCTATTCACTTTTTCTTTATTCTCATCAATGACTTTCAAATTAGTTTTGGGATTTTCTGCTTTTGCTTTTGTGCCTGTTCATCTTATTCAACGTATTACTTACAGCAGAACATAAATATTCTCATAAGAATCCAGCTCTGACCTTTCTGGCTCTTAAGATGGGGAGGCCTAGGACTGCCCCTACACACTGGCAAATAGCCAAGATTGAAGGGAAAACTTGTGAAGAATGATGTATAAAATACATACCATTTTAGCATTCTAGTGTACCATAGCTTTATACCTTTACAATTATCTATATCTTCATAAAAGTATAGAAGGGTAGAATACAGTATATATTATATAACTTTAATTTTCAACCTTTTTCATCTCATGACACACATCGACTAATTAAAATTCTGCAACATACACAAAAATATATTTTTGCCAATCTGACAAAAAATAGGTAACATTTTGATACATTTATATCAGATGACTATTGTGTTGGCTATCCTTTTTATTTATTTTTTATTTGACAGTCTAAAGAAAGAGGTCAGTGTCCCAGACTAAACAATCAGGTATTGCATTTTAAAAAAATTCCTTCAGCATATCTGTTGAAAATTGCTGGTATAGAATATATAGGTAGAATATATTCTAGAATATGGTTGTGTGTGTGTGTGTGTGTGTGTGTGTGTGTGTGTGTGTGTGTGTGTGTGTGTGTTCCATTCCAGTCTCAAAGATTCTTTTCTCCAGGGAGTTCCAAATGGCAGGTTAGATCAAGTCCCGGCAAATACTAGCGAGAACAACTTTCAGTCGATTCTGGTCACAGTCGTTTCTGGTTCCACAGAACTTTCCCTCTCTGGCTTTTTTTCTTGACCATCTTGTATCGTGCTTGAGACTCCTTTTCCGACCACAGCCAGGACTCAAATATTGAGCAGAGCTAGCACCAGCCGGTTGGGCCCCAGGGTGCAGACTGAGAACACTGGAGTGGGGCGGGGTGGGGCGGGGTACTGCGCACGCAAGGCGGGCGTGCCCAGGGCTGGGGTGTCCCTGATTGGCTTTTTGCTGTGAAAGGGACAGACCGGGACTACTGGGACGCTGCTGTGGTGCTTACCTGGGAGATAGTCCCAGAGTAGCCCTGGGCATCCCGGGCTTTAACGCTCAGGCCGGGGGAGGAGAGGGGAAGGGAGGGAGGACCTGCCCTAACGAAGCGTTGGGTGGTGGGAAGAGTGAGGCTGTGGTTTCTGGGTGTTGCGGGACAAGCCACGCGCCGTGTTAAACCCATTGTTGCTGAAGCGGTTGGCTAGGAAACTACGGGATTCTGTACCTTGAACGTGTTCACAGTTGCAAGGTACGCAGGCGCCTTTCATTCTCCCCGGGGCACACTGCCCTGGCTCCGCGGTTAGTGAGCAGTCCTGGTGTGGCTGTAGACGGTGTAACACGTCCTGGCCCTGAAACTGCCCAGAAGCGAGTTTTCAGCCAACACGCGTTGGTCGCGGGGTGCTGGGAGAAGGGGACAGACGGAGGGACTCTATAGCTGTACTGCAGTTTTACTTTCCATTAAGAAAATCATTACATAAAGATCTGGAACGAGAGATGAAAACCGAGAATCGTATTGACAGTTTTTTAAAGTCTAACATTGATTTTAAATGGTATATACTTCGTTTAGTGACTACATATCCACACACCTATGAAAGGTTTGCAAATACATACACATATAGATATATATTACAGATAGAGATTTTAAATGTTTGGCCACAAACGGTGGGACCTGCGATCCTTGTTTGGAGGCAGCGACGCGCCAGGCGCGCTTCTCCGCTACGAGAGCCTCCCCGCAGCCTCCGGCCCTCGCGGGCCGCGCAGTCCCACCGCGTCCAGCTCCGGATCGGCCGGGAGTCCGCCCGCGTCGGCTCACGCACCGCAGCCGCCGCTGGGAGACAAACCCGGAGTCCGGTTACAACCTGCAATTAACATATGAATGTAACGAACTTGTGGACGCGCGAGTGGAGTGGAGGGACCCGGAGCCGGCGGCGCCCGAGCCCCAAGCTCGCCGGAACTTTTCCTTGGGTGTAAAAACTCTTTGATTGGCTGCTCGCACGCGCCTGCCCGCGCCCTCCATTGGCTGAGCAGACACGCGACCGGCGCGAGGAGGGGGCTGGGAGAGGAGCGGGGGGAGCCACAGTGGCGCGTGCCGCTTTTTAAAGGGGCGCAGCGCCTTCAGCAACCGGAGAAGCTTCGTTGCACGCGACCTGGTGTGCGATCTCCGAGTAGGTGGGGGAGGGTTGAGGAGGGGAAAAAAAAAAGATATTGCAGTAGAGAGCCGGGAAGGTTTGTTTGTTTGTTTGTTTGTTTGTTTTGCTTTGCTTTGTCCAGCTGGTTTTCCAGTGCCTCCTCCGACCCTGCACCTCCGAGCCTCTTCAGTGCAATGTCCCGCCTGCTGCACGTAGAGGAGTGGGCTGAAGTGAAGGAGTTAGGGGACCACCATCGCCATCCCCAGTCTCACCACCTCCCGCAGCCGCCACAGCCACCTGCGACCCTGCAGACCAGAGAGCATCCTGTCTACCCGGCGGAGCTGTCCCTCCTGGACAGCACCGACCCACGCGCCTGGCTGGCCCCCACTTTGCAGGGTATCTGCACGGCACGCGCCGCCCAGTATTTGCTGCATTCCCCGGAGCTGGGTGCCTCCGAGGCCGCGGCGCCTCGGGAGGAGGTGGACAGCCGGGGGGAGCTGGTGAGGAGAAGTGGCGGCGGCAGCAGTAACAAGAGCCCTGGCCCCGTGAAAGTGCGCGAACAGCTGTGCAAGCTGAAAGGCGGGGTGGTGGTTGAAGACCTGGGCTGCAGCCGCCAGCGTGCCCCTTCCAGCAAACAGGTGAACGGGGTGCAGAAGCAAAGGCGGCTGGCGGCCAACGCCAGGGAGCGGCGCAGGATGCACGGGTTGAACCACGCCTTCGACCAGCTGCGCAACGTTATCCCGTCCTTCAACAACGACAAGAAGCTGTCCAAGTACGAGACCCTGCAGATGGCCCAGATCTACATCAACGCCTTGTCCGAGCTTCTCCAAACGCCCAACGGCGGGGAGCAGCCACCGCCACCGCCAGCGTCTTGCAAAAGCGACCACCACCACCTTCGCACCGCCGCCCCCTATGAGGGCGGTGCGGGCACGGTGACCGCAGCTGGGGCACAGCCGGCGTCCGGAGCGGGCCAGCGGCCCACCCAGCCTGGAAGTTGCCGGACTCGCTTCTCGGCCCCGGCCTCGGCGGGAGGATATTCCGTGCAGCTTGACGCTTTGCATTTCTCGACTTTCGAGGACAGCGCCCTGACGGCGATGATGGCGCAAAAGAACCTGTCGCCTTCGCTGCCCGGGGGAATCTTGCAGCCAGTGCAGGAAGAAAGTAGCAAAACTTCGCCCAGGTCTCACAGAAGCGACGGAGAGTTTTCCCCCCATTCCCATTACAGTGACTCGGATGAGGCAAGTTAGGAAGGTGACAAACACCCTGAAAACTGAGACAGAAACAAAATCGTCCTTTCCCAGTGCGCGGAAAGCCCCGCGGTTAAAGATCCCCGCACCCTTTTAATTTTTCCTGGGCTATGGTCGTTGTTTAGCAACGACTTGGCTTCGGATGGCAGCTACATTTGATGCTTTGCAAAAGCCGCCCATATTACAAACTTCCTGTCGTCCAATATTGTTTAATGAAAGCTTGTTAAAGTTATTTTCTTCCCTCCCACCTTCTTCTCCCCCTGTAGATAACAGAAAAGGTATAATTAATTATATGTACCCATATATGGCATCATTATTCTAGTTCCCTGCTGCCAATACGCTGCTAAAACGTTGCATCTTCTCTCTTGCTGGTTTGTGTTTAATTTATTTTATGCCCTGGGCATCCATCCCTGTGTGTTGCGCGCACTCACGCCTGGGAGAGTTAGTATTCCTAAGTTGTTTCCCAAAATGCATTACGAAACGCAAAGTTAAGACTTCCAAAGTAAATAACTTTTGGCTATGGAATTGTTCGAAAACGGGGAACTTGGGAGTTTATATACTGTATGAACGTACCCAGTCTGTGTATGGGATCGCGAGAAAGTTGGCGTCTTTTAGGAAACTTGGCGCACGCACTTTATCAGCCGCTACTACTGTGGCTCTGGGACAAACCAACTGCCAATTGCAGACCAGTTATGTTTTTTTTTTTAAACACGGCCACTTGTAATCCTTAATTAAGCTATTTGCAAATGTTTGTTTAAAAAATTTAAATGAAAAAATATCCAGTAGTGTCAAAAGCATTTGGTCAATTTTATTTTGCTTTGTTAATGTTAGAAAAGTTATTTATTGTTGAGTGTTTGCTACCATTTCTACTTATCCTGATTCATTTTTTTACGTTTTCTACTCGAGATCATTTTATTTTAAGTTAGCAAAGCCAACTGCCATTGTTTTATGTATGTCCTTTTGCAAATGATAAAAATAAACTTGAAAATACCTTTTATTTGTCACTCATTTGTAACATAAGCATTGAATACAGTTTAAAATAACCTTAAAGTCTTGGACTGTCTTTTATTAATTGAGAATTTATGCGATCTAAGAGGTTTCAGAGGAAAAATCTGTTACACACCTTGTATCTTCAAGGAGGACCAGAAACCCTAGGGGCAGAAAAGGGCTAGTCGGTAATTAAATGGTGAGATAGAACTTTTCCTGAATTTTCAAGTTTTGCCTCTTGGATAGCAAGGATCTTCCCATTCTTCTTCACTCCTAGCCCCAACAACCTCTACAAGCCAAGGCACGTGTTTCAGTTCTCCTAGGATTTCACAAGGAGTAGTGACCTCTACTAGGGTTAACTATTCCACTTCATAAAAACTTTAGCAAAGCTGAAAGCTTTTCTTGTTAAGGTCAAATTCAAAACACAAGCCCATTCTCTCTTCCCAGCCCTTTCTCTCCCCCCTCCCCTTCCTCTCTCCTCTCTTTCGAGAGAGGAGGAGGTTTGAAGCAAAGAGATAAAGAGAACAATGGATTAGAACTTGAGGGAAAGGGAATGAAGTTGATTAAAAAATTATAAACTTGCAATTGTCCTAGGAAATTATTGACCTCCACTAATTTTTTTCTTTACAATTGATTCTACTTCCAATGTAGGTGATAATGTTTGCTTTATTTTGTGCTTCTGAAGTAGTTCCTATGTAGAAAACATTTATCTACATTTTTAGTCAGTTGCAGAAACTAACTGGCATGCTCACTCTTCCACCTTAGGGTTCTCACGAAGGATTAGCCTATTCTGAGCTCTTAGGATCATACATTTTAAAAAATCTAACACAATGTGTGTGTGGAGAGAGTAGAAAGTAGAATTTTAAAAATGTATTTGGCAAACATGAAAGAACTATTTATTAAAGATGAGCGACTTTCCACTGGATAAACATCGCTGAATTTGAGAGGTTGATTTTAAGCCATATCTTTTATATTTTATGTCTCCATTGGGATAACATTGCGAGGGCAAGAAAGCAAGGGATAAAAAGTGAGAGATAGTTATTTTATTCGCCCCTGCATTCCCCTTTCTCTGCAACACCTTGAAAAGAGGAGAGCACCACAAACTGAGGGGCAGAAAAAGTAATGCTGGAAGGAGCGAAGTTCTGGTCTAAAGATCCGCGGAACCAGCTTTTAACTGACCACCTGGATATCCATGGTTTTCAGCTGATGTGTGAGACAGGGAAGCTGAAAGCCTCCGCCAGCTCTGTAGGAGAACTGAGCGGCGGCTCGTGACACGTTACAGGGGCAGAAACAATGCACCTGTCCCTTAGATAACATTGTGCTCCCACTGAGTTTGCTGTGCTCACGATAAACATCAGGAATCTTCTGGCTGCTGAATAAATCAAGCGACTGCTTCTAAAACATTTCCACTTCGCTATCAATAAGCAGTCTCAACAGGCATGGACATAGAGCAGCCTTGCAGAATAAGTGCACACATTTTTTATAGTTATTTTGCTTGGTGTGTCTGCATGCATGTGGAGAGGGGGAGAGAGAGAGAGAGAGAGATGGAGAATGCTTTTACCGTTATGAATGTTAGTAGGGGAAAGACAGGACTGAGGAAAATAAAGTTGTGGGTTTTTTTCTCAAAGAAAACTGTATTTCATTTTCAAAAACTTTATGCTCATTTTGTGTTAACCAGAGGAAAAAAGACTCTTTCGCGCCCATATTCATGGACTTAGAGAAATTTCAAAACAGAAATGGCATCAGGAACACCTTTTCCATCTTTTCTAAGTGCCCCTGTTCCTGACTGCCCCCAAACTACACACATAGAAAGTGTCAATATCTAGAATTGGATCTTACTACTCCTATCCACCAGGTCAACACACTGCCTAATTTTTGTCTAAGAAAATCTGTGGATAGTAGCTCAACTATGCAAACATTCACAGAGTTTTTCTTCCTCCTTGTATCACAACCATAGTCAAATATTTTAAGTTTTAAATGTTAGTGACATTATATGCTAATTGGAGATAATGCTAACATTGTTTAAGGAAGTCACTTGAGATTTCTTCTCATGAGAAAATCAAAATATCAGATTGGAAATTCTGTACCACACAGATTGAAAATGTGGATGAATTCTTCCAACCCATCAAGACATGCACCAAAAGCCAAATCCTGTTGTGGCAAATTAAGTGTTCAGAGTTCAAATGAGGACTTTAACCTCTTTTCTTTCCTTCATTCTGTTTCTTTCTTCTTATGCTGGCATTTCTTTGAAAGAGATATACAGTCACATTTCCATTTTAAGGTTCTGTTATGGCGTTTGCATAACAAACATTTGGCAGCTCGCTCCCTCACACACCATTAACAAGCTGTAACATATAGCTGCAGGTTGCTATAATCTCATTAATATTTTGGAAACTTGAATGTTGAGTATTGCTGAGCGCTCATTCCCCATATGCCAGACCACTCCTGCCATGCTGACTGGCTCCTTTCTCTCCATTATTAGCAATTAGCTTCTACCTTCCAAAGTCAGATCCAAGTATCTAAGATACTAGCAAAGGAATCAACTATGTGTGCAAGTTAAGCATGCTTAATATCACCCAAACAAACAAAGAGGCAGCATTTCTTAAAGTAATGAAGATAGATAAATTGGGGTAGTCTTTTGAAACACTGCTCGTGCTTTCTAGAGTTTTATATACTTTAAGCAACTTGCTTTATATTGTGTCTGCCTTCTACGCCACCACCACTTTTATTTGTGGACAGTTTTGGCTCATCACATTTTAGGGACTTATTTGATTTCACAAAAAGCTGGAGGAAGATTTTTGGCAACTGACAAGTTTAAGCATGTTCTTCTGTATGGGACATTGCTAACTGGGGTTCCAGCTTGACCAGACAAAAAGAGGGCGAGTTAATTTTTTTATCTTAATCTACGCTGGACCAATGTCTTCATTAGGCCTGTCTACTGATTTTAGAGATCTAAATCTGAACCAAGTAACCGATCTTCTATAAAAAAGATATTTGTAATTAATCTCTGTTTATTTGAAAGTTCAAGAAAGAGATGATCAACTTCGTCTTAGCTGTTCCAACCCCCAGTTAGAATTGGAAACAAAAGTGCGGACCAACTTGCCAACTGCGACCCAGACTTGTCAATCGCAATCTAGCAAAACAAGCAAGTATGTACTAGTGAGTGTAAAGATGACCTCTGGCAGTTGAGTTACTTGTAGTTGGTTTTGTAAGAAGGGGCGGAAGATTGGGTGGGGGGTGGATATACAACCAAGGTGTACGTTTTCCTTGCTGTTTTTGACTCCTCTCATGCTAGGCTGACCAGAGCCCTAGACACCAACCACTGACGGCCCTTCCCCTTCTGCTAGGCCCCTAACAAGAAAAGGAGAATGAAGCGGAGAATGGGTTAAATTCTGGGAAGCTGGGGAGGAGAGAAGTCGGGGAAGATAAAGAAAAGGACAGGAACCAAGAAGCGTGGGGGTGGTTTGCCGTAATGTGAGTGTTTCTTAATTAGAGAACGGTTGACAATAGAGGGGCTGGCAGAGGCTCCTGGCCGCGGTGCGGAGCGTCTGGAGCGGAGCACGCGCTGTCAGCTGGTGAGCGCACTCTCCTTTCAGGCACCTCCCCGGGGAGCTGCGAGGCCACATTTAACACCATCATCACCCCTCCCCGGCCCCCTCAACCTCGGCCTCCTCCTAGTCGACAGCCCTCCTTGGGCCCCCCCCACCGGCAGAACTCACAGAAGCGAGCATCTTTCGCCGCCTTCAGTGCCCGGCCGGGGCCCCTCTCTGCCCCTAGCTTCGCAGCGGGAGCCGCCACTGCCCACTGCACCTCCCAGCAACCAGCCCGGCAAGAAAAAAAGCTGCTCAAAGTTAAAGCCAAGCAATGCCAAGGGGAGGGGAAGCTGGAGGCGGAGGCGGCGGGAGAGCTGAGGGGTTGTCCAAGACAACTTGGGCCGGGGGCTGCGGCACCTGAAGCAATGAACCGAGACCAGGAAGCATGCGCATCCTCCCGCGCAAGGGGCCTGGCCAACGCGCTCCCCACCAGTCCGCGCGGCTACCCTGCTCAGAGTTTGTAGTGGAAGATCCATTCACCTTTCTAGTCAAAGAAACAGTTCTTCAGTCCCTCCGTTATCCTAAAGTGGTCTATAGTCTCTATATATTTGGATGCTGTTACAGAGTTTAAACGTTAATTGAACAGAGTGCACGGGCTTTGTCTCCCACAATCCAGAGCTGGGACTCAGGATACGACTTTTTTTTTCCTTTCAGCTCCTTAAGAAAAGAAAAGCAGAATTATGTATTTTGGTACAAAGATCTTGGACTTCTTTCCTGCTTTCTCCAGCACAAAGTAAGCAAGCAAATAAAATCAGCTTTTATTGCCTAATTTTGTGACCAGGCCCTCCATGCCACAAGTTCATACATTTCCACAGGAAACCAGAGTTCTCTCCATAACGATGAAAAACAAGACGCTCTCCAATATAAGTATTACTTTTTAACAATTCTGTTTAGAGCATTAAAAGATCGGGTAAGAAGAAATGGTGTGGTGACCAGCTGGTTCACCAGGCCTCACCACTGTCAGAATGATGAAGGAAGGTGTGAGCTGGGCCCCAGGTGGCTGATTTGGGAATTCTCAAGCCAGTACATATTACTGCTCTTATGGGCCACTAACACACTTATTTATCTCTTTTACAGGCAGTTCCTCACAATCCTTCCTACTTTCTGACTCTTAGAAACTCTTGATTGCTGAGTTGCTGGTGGAAGCAGAGTGAGGATTGGGAGGGATCTTCAACCTTGAGACAGGATGAGGTAGCATTTGAGGAGGAAGCAAGCATCCTGTGCATCATAACTGGAAAGGCCATGTAGCTAGGAGAGATCTGCATCCTCTGGCCACCTGTTGACCAGGAAGGTGGAAAGTCAGTTCTTTTCATTTTCAATAACTTATATCTGCTTCTGGAAACAACCTAGCAGAAATGTACACAATACCTTTTCTTTAAATTTTCTTAGAATCCAAGAGATGTTGATTCAGTAGGTCAAAAAAGAATACCAAAATCAGCACGCAGGATTCCCAGGTATATCTGGTACAAG